TGGATATTTTTTGGTTCGTAGAAAGTAGGCATTGAATATGCCTATTAGTATAAGTGGTAGTTTACACATTTGTAAAATGATTCTCGGAATTTTCATAATATGAACCTAAAATTCATTATTATAATTTATAACATAAATTTTTCTTGGGCCTATATTATCTTAATCTATCAGGATTTAGTATTGGAAGGTGATAACCTCATATAGAAAGTAAGGCCAAGTTTGGCATATCTGAAAAAAGATAAAAAGTCAAAAAGTCACTATTCTATTTAAGTTACATCATCTTATTTAAGTCACATCACCTCTCTTCCACATCACTTCAAACCCAACCCATATTTCATAAAAAGTCAAAAAAGTATACTTATTTAGAACATCCCAAACAAAAATATAGTTATGCAAGCGATTTTTGGTTTGAGTATTACCTTATTGATGGAAAATCAGTTAATTATGATTCAAATTTGTTGCAATTAAATTGAACAACTGTAAATGTGCAATTTTTCGTCAAAATACACATGATTGTGAATATGACTTCATAAAACTTGTCTAAGTAACAACCATTACAAGAAATAAATTAATTTTTTGGCCTCCTCAGATCTTTTTGTATTTTTCTATGCGGTCTGAGCCTTTCAAATACTACTAAACTTTGTGATAGAACTTAAATTAGTTGTGTTTAGGAATTATTTATGGTTGTCTAATCTAAATCTCTGATAATAGATAAGATAAGAAAGGGAATTATTTATCATTTAATCATGTACATAGTTGATATGTATACAAATTGTTTTATTTTTCTTCTCAGACTTCTTTGATAAGATCAAAATAATCTCAAATTTCACCTTTTAATAAGACTATAATTGATGGTACGTAAATTTGTTAGTTTTTGAAATCTATTGGTAAATTAAAAAAAATCTATCCATAATAATGAATACAACAATGATTCATCCCACTAAAAACATCACCACTAATAGCACTAATGCATTAAAAAAGTAAAAATAAAAATAAAAATACAACTCTAAGACCAAAACATCACATCATTAATGGCGGGACCCACTGCCACCTAATTAGTGGGAGCACTAATTAGTGCTCCCAAGCATTTTTCTAATGAATAGAATGATCGATTTATTTGTAATAATAAATAGAATAATTTAAGAAACATATCTATATTTTTATGTTGATTGTCATTGATTTCTAAATGGAAGTAAAAAATATGCACTTAATGTTACAAAGTTTACCGACACCATAAAAGGGATAAAAAAAGGAAAACAAAAATCAAAGATTAACATGAATGTTCTAAATTAAGTGAGAGTTTGGTCCAAAACATTTAAATGAAGCAGTAATAAAAAAGATAATTCTTTTTGGCATATCACACTTTATAATAGTTCACACCATTTGTGTCGTTCAAATATCAATCTCCGAATATGAGCAAAAATCAGTTGTTCATCACCTTCCAAACACAATAATTGTTTGGACGTCAAATTATTGAATAGTGTATTTGTTCAGAAGTTAATATCTGAAAAATTAATTTTTATTTGAAAGTTAATATTCAAACAATAAAATAGTGCAAATTAAGACTGCGTGGTGTGCAAAATAGGATGAATGTAATCATATATATATTTTTTTTGATCGGCAAAGAAAATATTTATTGATGAAGGCATGCAAAAAGATACAGAACACCAATAAAGAGAAGCTTGGAGCTAACTGAAGCTCCAAGCTCCAGTTGCTGAGAAACCAACAAACAAAACAAGTGAAACAGAATTAAAAAGAGCATCCACAGCTAACAAAGCATAGCAGACCAACTTAACTTCACCCATACTGCAATGTTGAGCAAAACAAAGACTAACAGATCAGCTCAAAACAGAGCAGTCTACAGATCAGCATACACAGATCACAACAAACAGCCACAGATCAGTCTGTAGACACACACCGAACCTGAAGGAAGTCTCCAAACTGGGCAGCCACAGAATACACTCCATGACCAGAATACCCAGACTACACATCATTTGACACATCACCCTGATATAGCTACAAGCGTAACACCAACTCCCCCAATCTACAGATAGGATCAGCATCAACAGATCAGATTCGACCACCAACTCTCAGCACCAAAATCAGCAGAGAGCACAACACAAATCAACTCCACAAGCCAACAGAGCGACCCCCATCTACACCAAGAGAGCAGAACAACACACATAAGAGTAGAACAACAACAAAGCAAAACAACATACACAAGAGCAGTACATCACTACAAATGTACAACACATCACCAGAGCTCATCACACCATAACAACCCAGCATACCAATCAGTACTATATAAGTGTAACAGACCCTTCCAAGCACTTCCCGATTTGCTTTAGATTAGGAACAAAATCCTGAACTGAAAAATGAAAGTCTCTGAGGATTGGTTTTAACCAAAAAGCAATCCTATACTTAATTAAGTCACAAAGATCCACTAGTTTTGGAGGAGTTGCTCTAAACACACACTCATTTCTACACTTCCAAATTGACCACATCACAGCCAATGGAATCACCCTCAAAATCATTTTTTCTTTCTTCTTTAACTTCCTCCCTGCCGCCCACAGAAGAAGACTCTCCACAGAGCCTAGAATAGCAGCTTGGACATCCCACCATTTCAGTATTTCAGTCCAAACCATCCACACAAGGGGACACCAAATTAATACATGGTTCACTGATTCACTGCCACTGCCACAAAACACACAAGCTATGGAAGCATTTGGATTAATCACCCCCAATTTTTGTAAAAATTCCTCGGTCTGAACTGTTCTTTTCCAAGCAAACCAACCAAAAACCTGCACCTTAGGAGGGATGTACTTAAGCCAAATCAGTTTGGTAATACTCATGGTGGCACCTGCATTATCCTCACCTCATCTATATAAATCTGCTACATTTAGAACCCCAGAAGATGAGGCTGACCATATAAGCCGATCAACACACTCTGGACACACTGCAAGAGCCACCAGTAGATAATTAAGAAGTCTAGCCAGCTCTTGCTCCTCCCACTCATATAACTCCCTTCTAAATGCAAAGGACCAACCACTCACTGTACTTTTCTTATCAGCCAGTATTCTTAAGGATTCCTTTTTATCCAAAGACAACCTATACAAAGTTGGAAATTCATCCTTTAAACAAGCAGACTGACACCATGTATTAGACCAAAACCTAATCCTCCTCCCATCCCCAACCTTCAACTGAAAATTATTCAAATAAAACTCCTTTAAGCTATTGCACTGTTTAGCAACAAAAATGATCCCTTTCCAAATTGCCGAGTGGCTGCTAGATGAAATTACAGATGGAATCCAACCATCAACCTCCATCTTATATCTGCTACAAATTACTCTCTTCCACAAACCATCCTTTTCACTACCAAACCTCCACCACCATTTAATTAACAAACACTTGTTCACATCCCTTATTTTCCTGATGCCAAAACCACCTTGATCCACTCTTTTAGACAAGTCCTCCTATTTGATCATATATTTTCCTTACTAGTTCAGAACCACCCCATAAGAATGTGGCTTGAATCTTCTCCAATTCTCTAGCTACCCCTTCAGGCATCTTGAACAAAGACAAGTAAAACACCGGCAATGCTGAAGTTACTGCTTTGACAAGTGTTAGCCTCCCTGCAAAAGACAACAACTTCCTCTTCCAACCAGCCAGCTTGCTTTTGACTTTATCTACAACTAGTTTCCATGTAGCTTTCTTCCTTGGATTAGCTCCTAATGGCATCCCTAGATACGTGAGAGGTAATGACTTAATTTTACAATTCAGCACTGCAGCAAAACCATCTAACATCTCCTTAGAAACACCCACACCGCATACAACACTCTTATGGAAGTTTATTTTCAGGGCAGACATAATTTCGAAGCACCTTAGCACCCTTTTCAACTTCCTCACCTCATCCACCTTAGCTTCACAGAATAATAATGAGTTATCTGCAAACTGGAGATGAGTTAACAACACACCATCATGGCCTACCTTTACACCTTTAATTAGTTCTAACTCAGAAGCTCGACTCAATAACAAATGTAGACCTTCTGCTACTAGATTAAACAGAAAAAGGGGACAGAGGGTCCCTTTGTCTTAGCCCCCTTTGTAGGCTGAACTCTTCAGTAGGAGCTCCATTCACAATCACTGAGATCCTTGCAGTTGTTACACACTACTTAATCCAATTGATCCACTTATCTCCAAACCTAAAATTAGAAAACATTGAAAACAAAAACCCCCAATTAATGGAATCATATGCCTTTTCAAAATCCAACTGAATAAGCACCCCCTTCTTCTTGGGCTTCTTCTATCCCTCAACAACCTCATTAGCAATTAGCACCCCATCTAAAATATTTCTTCCACTTAAGAACGCAGACTGAGACTCACTTATGATATGAGGCATTACAATTTTCAGTCTATTTGCCAACAATTTTGCTATGATCTTGTAGATTGAGCCCACCAAACTTATAGGTCTATAATCAGATAGCCCTGTTGGATTATCCCTCTTAGGAATAAGGGTTATGAAAGAACTATTTATACCCTTCACCAACTTACCATTGTTATGAAATTCTTTCACAAAATTAACCACATCACCCTTCATGACTTTCCAAAACTTCTGATAACATAGCAAATTAAAACCATCAGGTCCTGGTGCCTTATTCCCATCACAATCCATCACTGCTGATTTGATTTGTGCTTCTGAAAAATCTGATTCTAACCATCCAAGCCTCACCCTATCTTCCACTGATGGAAAAAGACCCCCACAACATAGGTCTTGATGGCCAGTGCTCTGTGTACTGATTTTTAAAGTGTTCAAACACCTTACTCTTCACTTGACACTGATCTTCAAACACCACCTCCCCTTCTATAATAGAATTTATTTCATTTCTAATTGTTCTGTATTTTGCTACTACATGGAAGTATCTTGTATTTTTATCCCCTTTCATTGCCCAGTTAAGTCTTGACTTTTGCAGCCATAATCATTCCACCATCCTACTCAACCTTCAGATCTCAGCTCCAGCTTCATTTCTCATAACTTTTTCCGCACCATCAAGGTCTCTGACCTCAGCCAGAATATCAAAGTTGTGAAGTTCACCCTCTGCTTCCTTCAATTTATTTAGTACATTTCCAAAAACCTCCACATTCCAACTTTTGAGGCTACTTTTCAATATCTTCAATTTTTGAAACAGTATAAACCCAGCCCAGCCTTCTACTCTGGACTCTTTCCAATTTGACTTCCAGAAATTGTGAAAATCTTTATGTAAGAACCAAGCATTTAGTACCCTAAAGGGTTTTGGGCCCCAGTCCCTCTCATCCTCCATCAAAAGGAGAGGGCAGTGATCAGAGACCAGTCTGGGTAGACCCCACAGCTTAAAATTAAACACCTCAAGCCACTTTGGATCTACAAGTATTCTATCTATTTTACTCCAATTCTCACTAGCACATGAATTACACCAAGTGAACCTCCTCCCAAGTAGTGGTAAATCAGATACCTCACACTTATCAATAAACTCATTAAATTCTTTCATGCTTCTATCTCTCCTTGAACACCCTTTCATTTCCCTAATCTGCCTAATCTCATTAAAATCCCTTCCTAAACACCAGGGATTATGAAATTCGTCATTCAACTTCAACAAACAATTCCACAGATTCCCTCTTGAGCCCACATCATTAGGTGCATCAATGTTTAGAATAGCACAGTCAAATTGGTTAAAGAGAGTACCTGATAATAATATAAATCTTCTATTGCTACAATAGTCCTTAACTTGGAATACATCTAGATCCCAAATACACAATAATCCCCTCGTAGATCCTACAGCATCCACCACCATAAACTCCATTTTGCCCCTTACCCACACTGATCTGACTTCATCCTCTGTTATTTCTGATTTCTTTGTCTTTTGGAACAAAGCAACATCTACATTTCTCTCATTTGAAAGCTTCTTTAACCTGCTTCTCTTCTCCTTCCTCCCCAACCCTCTAATATTCCATGATAGAATCTTCATAATTAACCACTATTTTTCCTATTTTCCCCCCAGCTGGTGTACTCTATACCCCAACTCTCACCCCCCCTTCAATGCGTTCCTTGTCCTTCAATTCAAGGTCCACTATTTTCTCCAATACTTCGGCCCTCTTTCCATTCAGCTTTACACCGAGGACTTCCCCCATTTTCAAAGTTACTTCTGCCTCATTTAGGACGACCCTCCCTTTATCCACTCCACCCTCTATCGATGCAGATAGAGACATTGCCGCCACTGCTGCTCGCCAGATTGCAGCCCTAGGCAGTGCTCTACTTGTTGAAGCACCTCTGCTCCCATACCTCCTCATTAACTCGAACGAATTTTTCCTTAGCAAATTCTGGTTATATTTCTTTTTGTTGATAATCCTTTCTTTCCCTTTTCTATGCCTTGTTTGACTACAACTGGGCTCCTTCTCATGGGCTTCCGATAAACTTGAAACTTGAAACTCTCCCAATTGGTCCTACTTCATCAGGCTAATCACTTATAGTTTTCCCCTACTGCCCTAGCCTAATCTGTGATTTACAAAGCCCATTCCCCTGACTTGGTGTATTATTCTGGCCCAAAATTACTTCAATATTCACCACAGACCTTTCTAAGCTTGATCTATCTAGACTTCTAACATAACCTTACATACAGACTTGATTTTCCATACTCTGACTAACTATCGTCTCCTCGGTTAAGCCGTTCCTCTGGTTTCGCACTTCCATCATTATGTTGCAGGCCTCAACACTTATTACTTTCTCCCCATCACTTCGAACATCTTTAGCTTCCTCTGCACTCCTCCGACATGCCACATTATCCACCTCCTCACTCCGACTTCCACCAACTGGCCTAGTTTCTTGAGCCACATCATACCCAACCTCCAGATCAGCAGTTGATTCATCCTTTATATCAGCATCTTCATCTTCATCCTTCTTGAAGTTCCGACCCACACTTTGATCCTCCAACACATCTGAACTGCCAATCCCATCCACATCTTGAATCTTGTGGCACCTGTAAGAAAATTTTATTGTTTTCACAGTTACCACCTGTTCTTCGCAAACTCTCACTGGAAACACCATCCCTCTGCATTCCAGATTTACAACTGAATTTATGGGTACCATGCTTTTGGTGGAAACCTTAACCTTTGCACACACAAATGACAGTGGCTGACTCATATCACCTTCAAAACATAAGACTTGCCCCCACACCCCACCAATCCTTCTTATATTGGAGCTATTCCATAGATGCAATGGGATGCCATAGCAATTGAGCCATACACATCTTTTCTACTCCAGAACCTGCCCTGGTTTTCCTTCAGCAATATCTTCACACCAGTCCAAAATCAGCTCCTTAATAGTTGATATTTTCAGTGCCCTCTCCTCCTTTGATCTAAATGTTATAACCACATCTCTTCCCCCACTATCTCTTACCATCACATCCTCCATTCCTATTGCTGCCAATTCTTTTTTCAGACTAATATTAGCATATTGTACCTTCAATCTAATAATTATGCTCTCAAACAACCATCCATTCCTTACCTCCTCTGCCTTTACCAAGACGCTCCTTATTTCCTCTGCCTTTTTTCCTGCCACAGCATCAACATAAGATCTCCTATCTCTAAGACCATTTGCCCCATTTCTAACATCTCCGCCTTGAGCAGCAAGAACTACTGGTCTCCGCTCTTGGGTACTTAATGATATTCTTGTAGCATCACCCCTAACCTTGTCCTTCCCAAACTCTGTAGATTTTACCTGTAATGGTCTATCATCCACCCATAAACCATTGGCTTTCTGGACAGCTATGTTGGCTGCCACAGGGCAACCAAACCTCACAAAACCAAATCTTGTGTTAGTAACCCTGCGTCTCTTTTGTGGTATAAAAACATCCTTTACTACTCCAAACTTTGTGAAAAGATTGAACAGACCTTTTGGATTCAGTGATGCTGGTAGGTTATCCACAAACACAGTAAACACACCTACACTCCCTTCCGTCCTCCATGGTCCTGGTCTTCCTCTAGCCCTCACAACTGGTATCCACCCTCCTTGTTAAGCTCCTTCCAACCTCATCACTATTCTTTATTGGAATTAACTACGATGTACTGTATATCACTAAAATCAATACATATCTTAAAACTGTTGTTTAAAATCACGGTTGTGACACCTCAATATCGGTACCTATTAAGAATAGCAAATGGTTTGTTAGGCACATGAATGTAATCATATGCTTTAATGTAATCAAATAGTTACTTTTAGATAGGTAAAATGCCTAATAGCATTGGAGATGCTCTACAAGTTATAGCCTAGTAATATAGGCCAACCATAAATGTCCAAAAATAAAAAATAAATCTTAAAATAAAAAAATACATATTTTACTCTTAAAATTAAGAAATCCTAAAATCAAGGCAAAATAAAATAAATCAAATTTGATTCTTTGCCTTGTTTGTCTCCCATCCCACGAATTTAATTATGTATAAATTTAAAACTTAAAATTTGATTGTGTATATAATTTATTTAAAATTTAGTTAATGTATTGGGATTATTGTAATTAAGGCAACAAATAAGAAACAATTTCCAATTAAGTCCATTGAATGAAAAAATTTCTTTCTTAATTTACATTGTAAACTTAATTATAAGATGGTCAAGGTTAAAAATGTCTCTCTGTTTTGATAAGGCAGCTATATCATAGAGTATGCAGCTATATCATAGAGTATGCATTGGCGATGTAGGATAATATTCCTATTGGAACTAAGTTTGTTAGATGAGTTTGTTAGTTAGGTAGAGTATTGAGGCTGCGCATAAATACTGGTGACAGTTGTAATTCATTAATCAAGAAGATGAATTGTTTTCAGGATTTCTTCATGGTATCGGAGCTTTCATAAGCTCCAACGAGCATTCTCACAGTGGTTACAATGGCATCTCTATATTCATCTTCTTCATCTTTTCCTCCAATGATTCCTTCGAATCTGAGCGTTCTACTCTCTAATCTCAGTTCACTTCTTACAATAAAACTGGATGGAACAAACTTCATAGTATGGAAAGGCCAAATGTAGTATATCCTCCGAGCAATAGATCTCTTGAAGATTGTGGATGGATCTTTTCCATGCCCAAGCGAGAGAATTCTGAACTCCTCTAAAATTGAAATTCTGAATCCTGAGGCTCTTCAATAGTGATTGTTAGATGCTCATCTGCTCAGTTGTGTTACGGCTACACTTTCTCCTACTATCTTCATATCTGTGATTCATTTCCAAACTAGTGCTCAGGTTTGGCAATTCTTGATAAACGATTTACATTATTATCTCGATCACATATTCATCAGCTTAAGAATAAATTGAGCTCAATCACAAAGAAAACAAATTCTATGGAGGTCTATCTAAGTTAGATTAAGAGCATTGTTGATCAATTACATCTTGCATCTTCATCTATTAATGATGAAGATGTTGTTTTTATAGCCTTGAATGGACTTCCTAGTGAATATGATGCTGTTAAGACAGCAATTCGCACTCGCTCAGAGAGTATTTCCATGGAAGATCTCTCTTCTATGCTTTGTTCAGAAGCACTTCACATTGAAGGCAAACTCAAGCAAGCATTAGACTTAATGTTGCCTATGCCACAGTAAAAGAATCGAATTTTTCAAAAGGTTTTCAAAGCTATCATTCTGGTAGAAGTAATTCCCGGCAAGATTCAAGAGGCTATTCTAGAGGCAATCGATCTATTCCTGGTAGATCTACTTCTTTTCGTGGCAGATTTCAATCTTCTCAAGGTCGAGGAAGGTCTACTTATGGCACAATTTGTCAAATTTGTGGAAAACATAATCATTCGGCTTTGGATTGTTGGCATCGGTTGGATGCTCAATTTCAACCCTCACACCCTTCACCACAATCATCTTCCACTAAATTTTTATCCGCACCACATATCGCTTGGGCCTTTGTTTCCTCTCCTTCTGATGATGCTGTCACTCTAGTTCTACTCCTTGGTTCCTTGACTTTGCTGTATCAGATCACATTACTCAAGATCTGCATCATTTTACTTCTTATCAGCTATAGTCTGGTTCTGACCAAGTCACCATTGGTAATGGCTATTTTCTTCCCATTCTTCACACTGGTCAAGGTATTCTTACTACTTCTTATATTCCTTTCAATTAAATAAAGTGTTACATGTGCCTTCTATTTCTTCTAACCTTGTGTCTGTGCAATAACTAGCTCGAGATAAGAATTGCTCTATCATTTTTGATAAATCTTCTTTTTATATTCAGGACAATCGTTCCAAGCCATTCTACTTAAAGGATATCATGTTAATGGCTTGTATCATTTTCCTGTTTACTCATGGTTTACATCATGCTTTATATAGTTCTACTATCTTTTCTTCTGCTTTTGCTGGCATATGGCACAAAAGATTGGGGCATCCATCTGTTTTCAAGTTTCAGCTATTAAAGAACCATTTGATATTGTCTTCTAATAAAACTTCACTTTCTTGTGTTGATTGTGCTATGTCTAAATCTCATTGATTGCCATTTAAACTCTCTATTTCTACTGTTGATCAACGATTAGCCCTTATGCACACCGATGTTTGGGGCCACTTTACTTGTTTTACTTCTAATTACAGATATTATGTTGTGTTTGTTGATAATTTTAGTCAATTTACATGGATTTATCCTATGGTTTATAAAAGTGAAGTTTATGCCAAATTTACTAAATTCAAAGTGTTTGTGGAAAACCAATTTGGCAATTCTCTCAAAGTGTTGCGATCTGATGGAGGTGGAGAGTTTCATAATCATTTTATGCTTCATTTTCTCAAGCAACATGACATTTTACATCAGTCTTCTTGTCCCCATACTGCACCTCAAAATGGTGTTGTAGAGAGGAAACATCTTCACATTACTAAAACTGCCATTGCCCTTCTCACCCAGTCTGCTTTGCCTCTTACTTACTGGTTTGATGTTGTGGCTGCTGCCACCTTTTTAATTAATAAGCTTCCTAGTGTTGCTATTGATAATTGTTCTCCTTTTGAAAAGGCCACCTGACTATTCTTTCTTTAAGGTCTTTGGGTGTCTTTGTTATCTATGGCTTAGACAATATTCTTCTTACAAATTAGCCCTTAGGTCTACTCTTTATGTCTTTCTTGGCTATCATCCTACGGTCAAGGGTTATCAATGCTTAAATTCTCTCATAGGTGCTATTTTTCTTCCTAGGCATGTCAGGTTTGAAGAGACTGTCTTTCCTTTTGCTTCTTCTTCTGTTGCTCCTTCTGTCTTATCAGACTTGTAGACTTTTTTTTGGTTCAATCCATCTGCTCCATCATCTCAATTTCAGCCTACTCAGTTTCCTTAACCTCCTTAGTCTATTCCTTCTCATATTTTCCCTTCTTTTCCCACTTCCTCTACCCCTGTTCAGCCTATATCTCCTTTTCTCATTACCTCTATTCCAGTTGTCCCATCTGCTCTAGTCCAGTCTTCTTCTCATCATTCCATTCCCATTACATCTATTTCTACTGATCTTCCCCTTCCTCATCCTCCACCCAATACCCACTCTATGCAAACCGGGTCTAAAACTAGGGCGCATGCCGTGACTACTTAGTCTTCTTCTCTTATTGCTTCCGATGGCTCCACTGAGCCCCTTTCTACCTAGACTCCTCTTGCTTCTTCTATTTGGTTTCGGGCTATGATGGATGAGTATAATGCTCTTCAGTACCAAGGAACTTGGTCCTTGGTTCCTTTTTCTATCCTCCAAACAAGTTATTGGTTGTAAGTGGGTGTTCACAATTAAAAGAAATTCAGATGGCTCTGTAGCTCGACGCAAAGCCAGACTTGTAGTTAAAGGATTCCTCCAACAGTTTGATGTGGATTTTCAGGATACCTTTAATCCTGTTGCCAAGCAACCCATCATCCAAATTTTACTTTGCTTGGCCTTGCATCATCATTGGCCTATTAAACAATTAGACATTTGAAATGCCTTTTGGCATAGCAAACTTGAAGAGGAAGTGTATATAGAACAACCTCTAGGGTTTTTTGATCCCTCTAATCATTCTCTTGTTTGTAAACTCCCCAAAGCCCTCTATGGCCTCAAACAAGCTCCCAGAGCTTGGTATTCTACATTCTCCTCTTTTCTTCTTTCTCAAGGGTTTATCAATATCTCCTCATCTATGTTGATGATATTCTCCTTACTAGTACCAATGAAACTTTTATCCCAACTCTCTTATCTCATACGCATCATGCCTTTTCCATGAAGGAGTTGGGTACTCTTTCGTATTTTTTTGGCATCTTTGTTCAACCTTATTCTAATGGTTTCTTTCTTAATCAATACAAGTATGCCTTTGATTTGCTTGTCAAAGCATGCATGGTTGACTGCAAATCTTTGTGCTACACCAGTTTCTTCCAAACCATCTGTGGTTGCCTTTGATTATTTGCCTTATTCTCAGCCCTTTTTGTATAGAAGCATTATGGGCGCTCTTCAGTGCCTTACTATCACCAGACCAGATCTTTCATTTGCTATTAATCAAGCTTTCCAGTTTATGCACTCCCCTATTGTTGGTCATTTTGCTGTAGTTAAAAGGATTTTGAGATATCTTAAGGGCACTCTCTCTCATGGCCTGGTTTTTACACCAAGTTCCTTTCAGTTGCATGCTTACACTGATGCTAATTGGGCTGGGGATTCCTCCGACAGATGGTCCACCTCCGATTATTGTATCTTTTTAGGTGCCAATCTCATCTCTTGGTCTTCAAAGAAACAACCCACTGTATCCAGGTCCCCTACTGAAGCTGAATACAGGTCTTTTGCTGTAGCACTCTATGCTTCCTATTATAATGGAACTATATTTGGCACTTTGATTATCTTGATTGAGAACCTTTTTAGTTGATATTTGAGCTTTGGTTGAGGTATTACCATAGTGGTTGTGTGAGATTGAATCAGAAACTTCAAATTCGAATAATTATTGTTAAGTAGTTTTCACTCTTTTATCATTTTCTCTCTCCATACTTTGAAACTTGATGTGAGGCTAGAGCCATTGAAAAGCTTACTTTTGGGGCTTCAATTTGGGCACAAGAACGACCCTAAACGGAGTCCGGACGAGGGAGTTATACCTGTTTGAATTTTGAGTTTCTATGCTAGAAGAATGGTCGCTCGAGCAAACTGCGCGATTTTCAGAGATTCTGGGAGCTTCTTTTCTACGCTCGAGCCAAGCTTCCTTCGCTCGAGTGACCAGGTTGTTGACATACATTATAAAGTGACTTTTTGGCCCTAAAACTTTATTTTTCTCCCTCTCTTCTCCTCCCATCCTCCAAACTCGAAACCCTAACCTTCCAAACTCTTGATTTCTCTTCTTTTTACCCAAGATTCACCCCAAATCTTTCAAGAAGGTTGAAGAGCAAGCATAGATCAAGACTTCTACCGATTGTTTTGCGATTTCATTGGAGTTTCAAGTTGGGTCTTCATCTTTAGCTTTGAATCTTGAGGTAGGGATTTCTTTGCTCATTTTCAATACCTCATTTATAGATAGATGTGTGGTAGATTTTATTGACATAAAAATCATATCCATTATGAATTTCTTTGAAAGTCATGAAAGGGAATCTAGTGTTTGTTATTTGGGAATGAGATTGTTAAATTGATTGTTGTTTGGGTTAATTAGGGAGTAATCTAGTATGTTTATGTTGAAAGAAGAAAAAATCCTAATTTAATGTTTTCACTTGGTGAATTAAAAAGGGGTAAAGTTGAATAATGTTTATAAATTGTTATTATGGTTTGTATAAATGTATTAATAGTTAAAAGGGAGAATTAACTATGGCATTGGAATTATTTTGGATTGATCATATTAAATTGAGTTAGGTTACGGCTTTGATATCCATGGATTTAGTTTTGTGAAATGAAAAGAATGGATTGGGATAAAGGGTGGAGTATGTTAACTTAGAAAATAAGAGAATAGATTTTTGAAAAGAAAAAATAAAATCATAACACTATGTGAATCTCAGAAATTAGCTTGAGGTTGGATTATGAATATTTTAATTTACTATTGTTGTTGTTGGATTTAAAATCTTATGAGAGTTGGATTATTATAATATGTGTGCTGAATACATATATTTAGAGGTTTTGTCCTTGGTCATCAGTGGAGGATGACATTGTTGTGTTGAATAGTTTATGTGTATGCATTACACTTGTGTTAGTTGAACTTTGTCATGTTGTGATGATTGGTAGCGTATACTGCATTGAGAATTACAGGTACCATTACATTCCAGCTAGTGCCTGGAGAATTGGCTGCGCTTAGAATGAAAGGTACCAATACCTTCTAGTTAGCTCCTGGAGAACTTGGTAGAGGTACCATCACCTTCCAGCCGATATCAGGTAAATTGACATTTCGTTATGGAAAGGTGTATTCTTGGCTTACCATGTTTAAGGCAGGTAGAGCAGAGCTTATTTTTCATTGTTGTCTTAGTGTACCTGTGTATATCATGTGTTATGATGGTTATGGTTCAAGAAGGCCGAGTTGTCTCATATCACTACAAGAAATGACACTTTTGTCGACCAAAATATTGGTCACCAAAAGCCCCATTTTTGGTCGCCAAAACTAATTAGTTACTAATTTTTTTTGTCACCAAAGTTGTCGCCTATACCTTGTCGGTGATAGTATTGGCGACTAAACTATTTTTGGTCGTCGAAAGTGAACATTTTGGCTACTAAACTTTGGTTAGTCGGCAAAGGTTATCTTTTGGCAGCGAAAACATTAGTCGCCGAAAGTGAACGTTTGGCTATTTGGGTAGTCGGGAAATGTGATCTTTTGGCGACTAAATATTTAGTCGCCAAAAGTGTTCAAATAAAATTAATTTAATTTTCAGCGACTAAAATTTTTAGTCATAGATAAGTTTTAGTCATAATATTACTACATTTAGGGACCAAAGAACTTAGTCACCAAAAAAATTATTTTTCATTTTATTTTATTTTTTACTACTAACTATTTAGTCACCCAAAGTCTCATTTATTTTTTGCTACTAAATATTTAGTCGCCAAAAAAAATTATTTTTCGTCTCATTGTTTTTGACTACTAAACTATTTAGTCGCCTAAAGTCTCATATAGTTTTGGCTGCTAACTTTTTGGTCACCAAAAATCATTGGGTTCTTTTTGGCTACCAAATATTTAGTCGCTAAAAATATTGTTTTTCTTTTTGGCTACCAATTGGTTAGTTGCCAACAAGTTCAAATTTTTTTTTTTGGCTACTAAACACTTGTCAAAACCTTTATTTAGTGTTTTTTTTTATTATAATTAATTTCTCCACAACTTGTATTTATTTCGTGCAACCTGCACCATGTATATAAACAAAACAATACATATACCTATTTTTATTTTGTTTCAACCATTCAAAAATTTGGTCTTTTAACATCAAATTCTATACAAACCAAATATAATCCAACCCAAAATAATAATTTCATACAAAAAGAGAATCATACAAAAAGGATGTCCTCTGTACACAAAATTCTACATCAAATGTCATTTACAAAATATTTTGAAGCTGTAAACATGATGGGAAAATTAAATTTATTTACTAAAACACTTGCTTAATTTAACAATGAAGCCATTGATCTAAATGCCAAACTTATAATCTGAAAATTGAGGGAATGGTGGTCTCATTGAGGAAATCACACTTCCATACAGTAAGTACCTCACCTTCGTATTGATCTTAAGGAGAACATTAGTATGATACTGGTCATTAACTCTTGTAGATGCAAGATTCTTTCATTTCCATGGACCGTAGAAATTAAGATGGTTTTATTCATTAAACACTGGTAAAAAAAACAACAGTGTAATAAAGGAATAAATCAAATCAAACAAACCATATAGATCAGAGTTCTTCCACTCTGGAAGCAAACATAGAAGAAATTGAGGAGCCCCAGGAAAGTTTGGATTGTATATCTTCAAACATTTTTTCCACTCTAGCAAGAGGTGGGGCCCGCCTATTTTGTGGACTCTCTTCAAATACATCGAATGGAGCATCAATTTGCTACAAAAACAAAATAAAAAAGATTTGTATTTTAAATCATATAGTACTGAACCTGAGTTAAGCTACCATAAATGACAGGACATACAATTTGTTGCGGATCGTGGGCACACCAGGGGACACTCACAAGCAAAAACACAAGAGTTTTAACGTGGTTCGGCAAACCGGCCTACGTCCACGGGAGCGATGTTGTTATATATCAACAAATGGAGGAGATTACACACTCTCAACTCACTGTCTCTCTATATAACACACTCACTCACACTCTCTGACAAACAGAAAATAGCTCTCACTAGCTCTCTCTGTTTTGTGCCTTCCTCTCAGCAATGTGTTTTGCCATTTGCCCTGTCTACAACTCACCATCACCATTCCATTTTATACACCTTGGAGTAGGTGGGAGTGCCATTGGGTAGCCTCCATGCTTGACTTCGGCAGCCTCCTTCTTTGACATGGTTGGTAGCCTACTTCCTTGTTGACCAACCAAGGTGTGTTCACAAGACAATTTCCCCTTCACATGGGGTGAATTCAACACAATTCCCTTCATGTCTCCACATTTGATCAAATCCCTAACAAGGACGGATATCGCAACGAGCTGAAAAGTTCACGACAGCCTAGCGATCGATCTTTGTTGGGTCCACTAGTTCCTACACCAGCAAAGAAATTTTTTTTAAGAACACAAAATTAAGGTTGAACTGTGCCAAGTTTTAAGAAAAATAAATAAATAAATTAGAGAGCCATGTAGAACCCAAAGCCATTGGTTTGGAGAGAACAATGAAGCCAGTGATCTAAATGCCAGCTTCAATGAAGAGATCTATGGTTTCATTGAAGTGTAAATTAATGGCTTTAAGAGAGAAATAATAAGATACCTGACCAAGAATAATAGCTGTATCAGTGCTCTTTAAGAGATCTATGGCTTCATTACACTTCAATGAAGCCATTAATTTACACTTCAATGAAGGTAAGAGTTGTAGGCTGAGATGGTTCAACTAATTGGACCCAAGGATCAACAGAAAAGCTTTTAGTGAAGAGGAAGAAGAGAGACTAATGGCTGCTCATAGGCTGCATGGAAACAAGTGGGCCATGATTGCTAGGCTTTTCCCAAGAAGAACTGACAATGCAGTGAAGAACCATTGGCATGTTATTTTATCATCTAAAACTGCAGCTAATAACAGCTCATGAACAGGTAATTAAAAAAAACTGAAATTCAATCTCAAACTGAAAAAAACTGAAATTCAATCTCATGAGCATTGTACCTAATAACGGCTCATGAAACTGAAAAAAAATAATGAAATTCAATCACAAACTAAAATTGCACCTAATAATAACTCATGAACAGGTAATTAAAAAAAATAATTAAATTCAATCTGGGCACTACCAAACCTCATAAACAGATGTCAAACACATGAGCATTGTCTAGTTTCATTTGAACATTTCGTCAAACACAGTGAGCAAAAGGGTCAGAAGACAACAACAAATACAAGCATGAACAAAACATGCCAAGTTAGAGCAATAGGTAGACAAAAAAAAAAAAAAAAAAAAAAAACCAAACAAACAAACAAACAAGCAAGAGCAGTAGTTAGAAAAAAACAAAGAGAACAGGCTAAACACCAACTACACCCTAAAACCTCTCACCGCTGCCAAGTTAAACACTAGATCATTCACTGCAAAGACCACATCCTTGCACTTATATTTGACCCACAAAGCAATTTTGAACCAATGATTCCCATTTGACTTGAATTCCATTAAACTTGAGGTCATTACGAGCCTTCCAAATTGACCAAACCATGGCCTCCACATCTTCTTTTCCAGCTTCCTAAATTTAAACCCAAACCCCCAGTGTGACAAATTTGAAAAAGATTCAGGTGTAACCCAGCAAACATTCCACCATTCTAGTAATTCAACCCATATCCTCCATATCAAAGGACAATGAATGAACAGATGCCTCAACCTTAACATGGGTCGATTTGGGGTTGGGTTTGTGTGAAGGTATGCAAACGGGAGAAGAAAATCCTAGAGGCTGAAATTAGGGGAAGAGAGACTAAAAGACAAGAGAGGGAAAAATAGAGAGGACATACCTGGGGTAATGCTCCAATGGTGGATTGACGGTGGTGCTCGAGTGCGATGGTGGTGATGCTCCGTTAACAATGGAGACAAAAGCGAGAGAGAGACAGTCGGAGGAGGCAAAGACGTGAGAGAGAAAGAGAGAGAGTCGCAGAGTGAGAGACAGACATAAGTATGAGAGTTAGAGCATGTGGGAGTGTATTTTTTAAACCCTATTTATTCTCTTTCCCAACTAACTTTTTTTAATCGCCAATAATAAATAAATAAAGTCCAATTTTTAAAATTTTTAATTATAATTGCCGACTAAAATTTTGTTGCTAAAAGTAAATTAATACCGACGAAATTAATTTTAGTAACTAAAGATAGTACATTTAGGGACCAAATTTTTTTTTAGTCGCCTATGGGGTAATTTTTAGTCCTTTGGTTATTTTAGTTGCTGAAAATTAATTTTTGGCGATCAATTTGGTTGCCAAAGATAAAAAGTAAATTTTTGTTTTTTATTCGGCGACTAAAATATTGTGGCATTTTTAGCTACTAAAATTTTTGTAAGTCGCCAATTGTTGCATTTTTATCGACTAATTTTTTTTTAGTCGCCAATAATCAGTATACCCCGACTAAAAAACATTAGTAGCTAAATCTTGTATTTTCGCCGACTTATATAATTTTTGGTTGCCAATTTCGCAACTTTTGGTGACTAAACTTTTTTTAGTCGCCAAAAATGTAATTTCCTGTAGTGAATGTTGAGTAGATAGTTATTGGGTGCTTATGGTTTTCGTTTTTCATGTTAGATGTATGTGGAGAGGTGGTTTGGAAATACTCTTCTGATCTTAGGGAATGCTCGTGATCCTCTTCCGGTAGCTGAAAAGGAATATACACTTCGGCGGGGGTGTCGGAATTAGCCCTCTGACGGGCAAGTCAGTAACCACACTCAGGAATACTTTTATTCTAAGTTAAGCACTACAATACTTACATACCTCTCTCGTCGTCCTCTTATTTACTCGGCTCCATGGTTCAGTATCTGCTCAGCCCATCTATCCCATTCGGCATCCTTATCATGCCGAGTAGAGGCGTATAATATATGTCTCCTAGACTATGCTTCTAATTATTCCAATTATTCGGCTCCCATAATTGCCCCCTAAACACATCGCTAGCATCAGTTAGACGGCGTGTTTGGCTAGAAGTTAAAAAATTTCGGCAGTTAATCCTCTTCCCGATGCGTGTCAGAACGCGTGCGTGCTTTTTGGTCATTATAACGCTTTCCCGCCCCATTCGTGCTTCTCTCGCATTTATTATGATTTGAAGCTTAAGTCCCTTCGAAGATATGCTTTTTCGAATATTTGAACTTCTTGGACTGCCGGTCGGTATCTCTTCTTCAACGCGTTTTCTACAACTCTTATCTGTTCTCTCTTCATCTCCTTTGCCTTTCGTAAGTTTTCTTCTCTTCTCCTTGCAATCCTATTTTCCATATTTATTTTTGATTTAGGATATCCTTGAGTCCTTGCTAGAATGGCTAATCATTTGAAAGACCTCATTTCTGTCCGGGTTCCGAAAACATTTTTCTATTCCTGAGGATGTCCATCTTGCTCTGGTGACGGACAATACCCTTGATATGGAAAGGGATGACCAAAATACAATCGTCTTCTCTCTCCTATCTATTGCGAAGGATGAAGTTCACTTTCCTCTACATCCATTTCTTGGGGTCGTCCTCCGCTATTGGAGTCTGATTCCTTCGCAACCCAATGTAAACTTTTTTCGAATCGTAATGGGAATCACAGAGTTGAACCGGTGTCTCAGGATCAACCTCAGCATTCCGACGATTCGACACTGCTATGCTTTAGCCAAATCCTCCGGTCGGCTCGGGCGCTACTTTCTTAGGGCCAAGGACACCGACCATCACTTGGTGATGATGCTTGCCAGTTCTGGCAAACGAGTTGACGATGTAATGGTCAATGTCCGAGGTAACTGGGAATTCGGCGAGGGCGAAGATCGCCTGGACCCTATTCCCAGACGGAGGGGTGAACCAGGTTGCCGTATAAATCCTTGTTTGTTGATCATTTTTTCATACGGCGCTTTCTCGAAGCCTTACCCTTTATTCTTGCAGGTAATAAGTTGAAGAGGATTTTGACCTCGGTTGACGACGCAGTCCTTGTGAAAATTAAGACAGCACTAAAGTACTTTGGCCGTCCGAATGTACAGAAGCAAGGGAGAGCCGCCCATATTCTCCTGCGGTACGAGCCTACTTATACCACATTCTTGTCCTCGGACGATATTCCGATCCCAACCGGTAAACCGCACCTTACGGCTCTTGTCTTCCCCAGCTTCAAGACCCTTAGGCAAATTGGTCTTGAAGCTTCTGATTCGGAGCAAGACTTAGAGCCGGTGGTCGAAGTAGTTTCCGAATCAACGAAGGTGTTCGCTACGGAGGCCGAAGAAGTCGACGAAGCCCTCAAATCAGCGTTTGCCGCAGCCAACCTTAACGAGCCTAACTCTCCGTCCACTTTGGGTCAGGCGGAGTTTTCCTTCGAAGACATTTTTACAAACTTGGGAGATTTACCTGGCGATTTTCCTGAAGGCATGGCTGGGGAAAATCTCACATAGATGGCGAGGAAGAGAAATGCCGAGAGAATGGCCGCCCGAAAGAAAGTCGAGGCCACTCGTTCTGAGCCTGCCCGAGTTGAATCTATACAACCGGTTACTAGAGAAGAAACGACTCAAGTTGTTGTGGCCGGAACGGAGGGAGCTGAACAACAGGTTACGAAAGAACGGCTGGTTTCAAAAGAGCGTAGTGAAAAACGTTTTGCCGAGGGAGAGGCCGGCTCAGAGGATAGCCCTGCTGACAGACGGCCTCGGTTAGAGGAGTCCGACGTGGTTGTCGTCTTCATTGTTCAACCAAAGATCAAAGACACGCCAATCTCCGCTGACGCATCTGCCATAAAGGATCCAGCCGTGGCGTTGAGCTTGGCCACCTCAGTCTCGCTATCGGCTGACAAGGCCACTTTTCGAGAAGAGCCGGATTTGGTAGCTATAGCGTTCCCTGCCTAGTCAACCCTTCTGGTATGTATACGATACTTTTGTTTTTGCTTGTTTGGTTTGGTTTGCGCACGACGTTGCTTGATGTGGCGATCCAAACTTGTTTTGCAAACGGTTGGACGGATAGCCGAACTAGGCCGTTGGCAGCAAGATGCCATTGAAAGAATTGGCCGCTTAAAGGTTGAAGCTGAGGGTGAAAGAAGTAGGGCCGAGTTTGAGGCGATGACAGCCGCAATGGAAAGTGCTCAAGTCGAAGCTGAAAATGAGAGGGCTCGGACTGCTGATCAGCTTAGATCCGAAGCCGAGGATAGAGCAAACGCGAGTGAAGAGTCGCTCAAGTTAACCCAGGAGGCGCTTTCCAAGGCAGAGGCCGAGTTAGAAGAATTGAAGGCGGCCAAGGAAAAAGCCGAATCTGAAGTTTCTACGGCGCTAGAAGCTGGGAAGAGCGCCTCCTTGAAGGAATACGTAGATGAGGTCCCCAAGTTCGAGAATCGAGGATTCAAACATGAGTGGCTCAAAGCCCTTGCTTCCGCTAGAGTTACATTGGCCTTGCCAATTCCATACGAGCAAGTGGACGTTGAGCCACTTGAGTCTGATCCCGAGGATTGATCTGGGAGACATTCTAGTTTTATTAGGTATCTTTAATTTCGATGTACGTTTTTGTTTAGTGGGTTCTTGTTAGTTCAAGGTAATTTTCATGTATAAGTTAGTTACTATCTGTGCTTAATTTATTAATGAAAATTTCCTTCCCATTTCACTTTTACTTGGACGAAGTTTCTGATATTAATGAAGCGTTTTGCCTTCCACTACTGTGGATAAGATGATTACTGTCTGTTGTGCCTTCTAACCAGCGATTGGAATCAGTGCAATCTTGGCAATTATATTAGTTATACTTTAATTTATCCGAACAAAGTAAACGGACTCTTGGTGTTGAATAGGACTAGTAAATCGATTCGTGAAGCGGCTGCGGCACTCAAGCTGGATAGATTGATGAATCTGCCCTTGCCCCAGCTGGTTCGCGAACATGAAATGCCGAATCGTACAATACTGATTAGTCGATTCGCGAAGCGGCTGCGGCACTCGAGCCGGATAGATTGATGAATCTGCCCTTGCCCCAGTTGGCTCGCGAACAAGGCTTTTAGTGACAAAATTTTAAAAATGTCACTAATAAATAGAATTTTAGGGACAAAATAATTTGGTCTAAAAACGGTTTATTTTTTTGATACACAAAATTTGGTCCCAAAAGGATAATAATTAATCACTAATATCTAATTTTTGTTGCTAAAAATATAATAACGACACTTTTCGCGACAAAAATATTTAGTCCCTAAAAAATAATTTTGTTCCTAAATTTTGGTTTCTAAAATCTTAATTTTTTGTAGTGACAACCATAACTTGTGAATCTAATTGTAATATAAACAAATAAAATGACATTTTTGGCCATGATTTTGGACCATTTTGTAATTAAATTTCCAATAGATAAAGTGGAGAATAAATATTTACATTTAATGACTTAATTATGAATAAACTTCCTTAATTGTAATTATCCCATTTATTTTTCTTTTAATGATAAATTATTCATAATTATCACTAGTGTAAATATTTATACTCCACTTTCTCTTTTGGAAATCTAATTAAAAAATGATCCAAAATCACGGCAAAAAATGTCATCTTGCAATTAAATTTCCAATGTAGATTAGGAAAGAAATTTTTACATTCAATGGACTTAATTGGAAATTGTTTCTCATTTGCTGTCTAAATTACAATAATCCCAATATAAAATAAAATTGTATAGATATCAACTACATACATAATTAAATTTTAAATAATTCACATGGGTGTGGGTCTAACAACTCACATGAGTTTAGATCCAAACTTGTGAAACGTACAACCATGTGAATATTTGATAAAAATTTTCATAAAAAATTTTATATTCCTAACGAGTAATAATTGAGACCCCATCCTCATAAGACCCCCACAAATCTCAACCACTCATGATGTAGACTACACACATACATGAGTGGGCCTCACAGATACATGGAGGGCCATGATCATTTTGGGGGTGTGGGGGTCATCCCCAAAGGGGATCCCAAACACTTTCCATTCCTAACATTGCTCTCTATGAATCACGGACACTCTGAAA